AACAATTTCTATTTTCCAGCAGTTACGTGAAGCATTAGAGAGGTGCATATCACATTATCTCGGTGATCATAAGCATTGACTAGTGACTATTTATGTTCTTCTCAATTGCAATAAAATTCAATTCTATATTGCGTAAGACATTTTAATTAGTAGTTGTTCTCCTTTTTTAAGTCAAACATAATTATCACTTAGATATTCTAATGTGTGAATAGCTTATTTATATATTCATTAACTTCACATAAAGAAGATATCATATGTGAGAAGATCGAGAATCACTTCCCCACAATGGTTTACAACACACGTAAGCTATAATCATCTCACACATTTATTGTTAGATATTTTGAAGGAAATAATAAAATTATATTTTTAATAAATTCATACATATGTGATCGAAATAATTAAGTAACGGATTGGGCTTTAATAGATTATGTTTGAGGTCCCTTGCGCATCATGAAATTTGACAAATTTATGATGTGAATAGCTACAGGCTTCATATAAAATCCAGCTCGTCATCATAAAAAAAGACTAATTACCTTAGTCTTTGTGTTAAAACAAATAATACAGTAGATGACATAATAGATTGTTACAATATTCTCCACAAAGTTATTCAATTAGACTATATTGGTTCCATGGGAAGAAACATATTCGTATTCAACTATGATAGGTTTGATCTTGTTCATAATCTTGGAATAAGGGTAAATAAACCATATAATATCATAGGTGATAGTGTGAATAGAAAATATGTTAAATTTGATCCTTTCATTAAAGAAAAACAAGAAGACCGATACATTATCTTCGATATCCCGATATTGCAAGAGATAAAGTTAATTGCGCAATAGTCATAGAAAGTAAACCTAGAGCGACTATTAATATCCAGAATACTACTAAATTCACCCTTAAAGAAAGAGAAATGACATATTTGTGCATTCCACTTGATTCTACTCATGAATAGATTAATTTAGAGTATTTTAGTGGCAAACAACAGGAAATTACTCTTAATGAGTATGACTCTATAAATGCTTTGGAAGAAAAAAAAGTTTAATTACATCATCTAGTTACTCATCAGACGATGCTGATTAATATGAGAAAGCTATTAAAATTCTTTTTGTATTATAAGAAAACCATCATAGTGATATATATATATATATATATATATATATACTGAATGAAATATACCATATATATATACTGAATGAAATGTACCATAATAAAGTTTAATTCTAAATTCACTAATGTACTACAAAAGATAAACATTCCCCCAATACTAAATAAACTACAAGACTTACAAATTACTTCAGCACATATAACAAAATCAAGACAAATTCAGTAATACTTCATTCCCCTCCCATGTTTCCAACTTCACCAAGCACATTCCTTGATCAATCTAATCTGTGGATACATAGCATCATGAGCAATCAGCCTTGTTCTTTTCCTTGTAAGATTGACTGCTAATGATGCTATAATCACAATTAAATTAAGCTCTAAATATCTCAAGGTTGCTTAACTACACTCTTGTTCATAATTAATTAGTATATCCCCCACCTAATGATGAAGCCCAGTAATCTGCACCATTGTTGCTCTCAACATGCAGTGTGCATGAAACTGGAACAAGACACAGCCCACTACTCCTCAAATCCTTCTCTTGGTCATCTTTGACATCCTGCTATAGAAAATGCAAGTGATTAATCTTCTTATTATCCTTATTGTGATTAATGATGATATGTTGTTTGCTACATAGATAAAAAAATTTAGTTTTAAGATAGCCCAACTCTCATACAATCAAAAAGTTGCTCTAAATAGCTTTCTAATGCTCTCTAACACTATGGTGTTAAGGAAAATTATTACAATGGTTGTGAAAATTAATTTGATCAAATTATGGTATCAGACCAAGTCGGGTGTGTTGAGTCTCGCCGGCCTGAAGAAATCAAGGGCTGGCCGAAAACTCCGATTCAGCAAAGGTGAAGGAGCAGGTCGTGTCAAACTAGTGCCGACCAACTTCGGCTGACCAAGTCTACATTTATTCTATGTATGTGCTATGTTTGAAGATAAAACATAGGTTCACTAGTTTAAAAAAATCACATGGGTGATTAATTTGTAAATATCAGTGTTTCGGTTGGTCTGTATGTAATCATCCTAATTATTTACCTGGCATTTACATACATAACACCCTATTCCTATTTATTTAATTACATATATGTCACCTAATTTTTGCTTTTTTTATATTTATAACATCAATATCACTCATATTAAATTTAAAATATTACAAATTTGACTTTTAAAAAGTGAAATGCATTATCTTTTTATGCATAAGTAAGATGATATGCATGTAAGAATTGAAGTTAAGTTGTTTAAATATGTAAATACATAGAAATTGAGTGGTATGCATGTAAACCTTTCACTAGTAATAGACATAGTCTCACTTATCGATGGTATGATGACTTATATGCATAACATTTAATTTCAATGTATTTACATATATAAAACCTAAATTTCAATTTTTGCATGTATACCATCTTATTTATTAATAAAAATGTGTTTTTTACTTTCTGAAAGTTAATATAGTAATGTTTTTATATGATATGAAACATTTGGGTGGTATAAATGTAAGAAAATAGACTAATAAAAATGTGTTTTTTACTTTCTGAAAGTTAACATAGTAATGTTTTTATATGATATGAAACAATTGGGTGGTATAAATGTAAGAAAATAGACCATCATAACTCATTATGACAATGATGAAAGTGATCACTACTCATAAAATACTGTGATTATTGTTAGAAATTAGTATTAATTTGGTGATTAGCTGCGCTTTAGTTGACTAAGAAAATCAACTACAGATGACAATGCTTTTAATAATTGTAATAATTGTAATTAGGCAGCAAAGAAAGAGTCTCTAAGCACATAAAGATGACAATGCTTTTAAGCTCTATGGCTTTAACTGAAGAGCTCCTAATGGCTGTAAAGCGATAGATTTTAATGCCTTTCTGCTTTAAAAAAAGCGCTAAAAGCACTAGAGTAGTGCTATTCAAATTTTTTTTAATAGATGTAGCTATTACAATATTTTTTAGGTAAAAAAATCATAGCTTATTAAAAATCAACTATAAAGTTACTGAAACATAATCTGATGATCAAAAAATTGGGGTGATTATCACACTTTTTTTTAATAAGCCAAACTACAGCTAGAAAGCTGTCAATGCACCTAGTCAGAACTGATGTGAAAACATTTTTTTAAAAACTGTCAAAACACAGATTATCTAAACAGTCAAAACCACGGTGAGTTTTGAAAATACTACCGCACCGCTGCCCCAAATAGAAGCAATGTATGATGATATCAAATTTTTTAATTTTTTTTTTCATAAAATGGTAGATAA